TGCTACCAGCCAGCCTAGAAAAAATGAGTGTTTGCCCAAACCCTTCGACAAGACCACTTTCGGCTGCTCCCCAATGTAGTGCACTCCCAGTTAGAGCTATGTGGGTGCATGGATATAGAAATATGCCAGGAACCAAGCTCTCGCGCGAAGCCTATACCGAGATCTGATCAGGTCGTTTGTCCCTTCGGGAAGCGAAGAGGAAGTACCACATATCGCAAGCTCGATACACGCGAATCCGAGGTGGTATAGACAAGCCCCAGACAGCGACAACTCCCGACATATCCGAAGACTTCGAGGCCCTGCTGCAGAAGTGTCGCCCTATGTTGCTTTCCGACCGAGAGAAACAAATCCTGGAGCAATCGGGACACACCTTCTACGAACGCTACCAGATCCCCAAACAGTTTCTCGAACTCTACTTGCTGTGCTTTCGCCCACTAGTAGAAGCCGGCAAAATAGTCGATTTCACCAATTTCGACCCACCAATTTCGACCCTCGGCGGGCAAACTCCGAATCATTCTCGCTGATGACTGCTATCCGGGCCCCAAGGACAGACACAACCGATGCACCGACTGCCTCGCCACTCTATCGGAACTGCCTGCTCTCTTCGGCCCCGACAACTCTACGTGCAAGTGTGGTGCCATCGACCATTGCGTCGACAGCAAGAAATGTGTTCTCTGGGAACAGAAAGCGATAGACTACACACCCCAGGAGCGACTTCCACTCGAGGTTCCAGAAGAGATCGTGGTCGACAGCTGTTTCATGAATATAGAGAACCTGTACGACAACGCCTGCTTTTCTGGAGCATACGATACGCACTCCTCGCCAGCAAATTGGTGGACCGTTGTCCGTGCAAGGAGAAAGAGTCTTGTATCTTCCGGCAGCTATCGGGAAAGCAGAGGTACCACAGGGACAGGGCAATATTTGGCATACCCCATTGCCCAACTATGGCGGACCCAAGGATATGGAAGTAGCACCCCTCCGTGCAGCGAACACCGAAAAGCCGCGAACGTCCCAGAAGGAGTCTACATGTGCAAAAGTTTGCTGTAGCGAGATACAAAGGGAAGAACCGGCTGTTGTTGCTACTCGATCCCCCGACTGGGGAAACGATTCCAGTCTACGGCTACAAGATACGAGAAACGATTCGGGCCGCCGGTGGAATAGAACGCCTACGGTTGGTGCGGGAACCGTTTCTGTGCACGCTCGGCAAAATCTGCTACTCGCCTATATCGGAAAAGAAAGACGATAGAGAAGTAGAATTGCTGCTTCCAGACCTTGGGCGAGAATAGGTTCTATGGGTCCTGCACTGCAGGGCTAGGGAGAGTAGACCCTCCGACAGCTCGCCTAGTATTTTGCAGATGCAGTATACCCTACTAATGCTAAGCCAATGCTAAGCAATATTGCTAAGCATTTGCTAAGTATTGTTAAGCATTGCTAAGCATTGCTAAGTTTACCCTACAATTGCTAGGCAAATTTCCTGCAAAACAAGCAAACTTGGGATTCTCTAGTGTGGATTACAGTTTCCTCTAGGATCTGGATCTAGTTTGCCCTAGATTCCTGGTGTGCCCTGGGATCCCCATATAGACAATATGTTGCTTAGTATACCACTGGAGAGGAAGTGTTGGCTTCCCCCCAGCACAGACGCATTGCCTGTGGCCATCTCGCCCGCTAGCGAGACGTCTGCCGGCAGCGTATTGCCCCCCAGCGCAGCAGCGTATTGCCTGCTGCAGAGCCGACTGCGCCCACCATCCAGGACTTCTACGACCGCTTGGGGAGGCTAGAGGCTCGTGTGGAGCAAACTGCGGCGATGTCGGCTCGTGTGGAGCAAACCACGAATACGTTGCCGGCTCGTGTGGAGCAAACCACGAATTTGTTGGTCGACATCTTGTCGATGCTGGACAAGGACGACGAGGAAGAGGAAATAGAAAACGTCGAGGAGGAGCAAGAAGAGACCCGTCTGGATATCCAGAAGGTGCGGCAGATGCTAGAAACAGCCCAAAGGTGGACCTACCTTTCGCTAGCCGCTGTTTTTCTCTGGAAGGTCGTCTACAAGACCTGGAAGCACAGCAAACCAGTTTCCCCCTTCGTGCACCCCCTCCACACACCGACCGAGAAGGTAGAAACACCCAAGACCAAACGTGGGGATCCCTTCCATATGGAGTAGAGTGTGGAATGCAGTGTTTTTGGGGAAAAAAAGTATTGTAGTAGGGTATACTTTCCGTACCACGAAAAGCAGTTGGAATACGAAAACGGGCCTAGACAAGTGTACGACTCCATTCGTCCTTTGCAACCCCCAGCCCGCGGCTGCATCTGCAAAAATACTAGGCGAGCTGTCGGAGGGTCTACTCTCCCTAGCCCTGCAGTGCAGGACCCATAGAACCTATTCTCGCCCAAGGTCTGGAAGCAGCAATTCTACTTCTCTATCGTCTTTCTTTTCCGATATAGGCGAGTAGCAGATTTTGCCGAGCGTGCACAGAAACGGTTCCCGCACCAACCGTAGGCGTTCTATTCCACCGGCGGCCCGAATCGTTTCTCGTATCTTGTAGCCGTAGACTGGAATCGTTTCCCCAGTCGGGGGATCGAGTAGCAACAACAGCCGGTTCTTCCCTTTGTATCTCGCTACAGCAAACTTTTTGCACATGTAGACTCCTTCTGGGACGTTCGCGGCTTTTCGGTGTTCGCTGCACGGAGGGGGTGCTACTTCCATATCCTTGGGTCCGCCATAGTTGGGCAATGGGGTATGCCAAATATTGCCCCGTCCCTGTGGTACCTCTGCTTTCCCCGATAGCTGCCGGAAGATACAAGACTCTTTCTCCTTGCACGGACAACGGTCCACCAATTTGCTGGCGAGGAGTGCGTATCGTATGCTCCAGAAAATGCAGGCGTTGTCGTACAGGTTCTCTATATTCACGAAACAGCTGTCGACCACGATCTCTTCTGGAACCTCGAGTGGAAGTCGCTCCTGGGGTGTGTAGTCTATCGCTTTCTGTTCCCAGAGAACGCATTTCTTGCTGTCGACGCAATGGTCGATGGCACCACACTTGCACGTAGAGTTGTCGGGGCCGAAGAGAGCAGGCAGTTCCGATAGAGTGGCGAGGCAGTCGGTGCATCGGTTGTGTCTGTCCTTGGGGCCCGGATAGCAGTCATCAGCGAGAATGATTCGGAGTTTGCCCGCCGAGGGTCGAAATTGGTGGGGTGGGTAGATGTAGACGAAATCAACTATTTTGCCGGCTTCTACTAGTGGGCGAAAGCACAGCAAGTAGAGTTCGAGAAACTGTTTGGGGATCTGGTAGCGTTCGTAGAAGGTGTGTCCCGATTGCTCCAGGATTTGTTTCTCTCGGTCGGAAAGCAACATGGGGCGACACTTCTGCAGCAGGGCCTCGAAGTCTTCGGATATGTCGGGAGTTGTCGCTGTCTGGGGCTTGTCTATACCACCTCGGATTCGCGTGTATCGAGCTTGCGATATGTGGTACTTCCTCTTCGCTTCCCGAAGGGACAAACGACCCGATCGGATCTCGGTATAGGCTTCGCGCGAGAGCTTGGTTCCTGGCATATTTCTATATCCATGCACCCACATAGCTCTAACTGGGAGTGCACTACATTGGGGAGCAGCCGAAAGTGGTCTTGTCGAAGGGATTGGGCAAACACTCATTTTCCCTAGGCTGGTAGCAGAATTAGCCCGTATGGAAGCTTCTAAGCAAAGGTGCACCTATACAGGTTTTTCAACAATATATCGCCATATGAAAATTTCTGCAATACCCACCCTAACATGAACTATAATTGATAAAGCTGAACGTTTAATAATGGATATTTTCCCGTTTTATCCAGTTCAAAAGAATTCTTTTGATATGTTCAAGTCTCTTCTTTGTATTGATCACCCACTCGCCTCCTGCGCTAAGGTGTGCACGTAAAGCACGTGTGTGTTTTAGTGAATTCAGATATTATATTTGTTTTGATATTGATTTACTAAACATAATAAATTACTTTACTTATTTGGTCTTCTGGATTTCCGAATCACGTTCCTGATGTTTTTTACTTATTAGAAAGCACGGCGTACATGTATGCTGTGACATTTGATTTACTCTCCTGGATAGAATTATCTAATTACGGTTTGAGTTGATTCATAGAATTTGTCATAAAGAAGATTCGAAATATCGTCTTTGTATGTTATATACCTGATTTCCTTAGTTTCTTTTTCCTCCAGCGGGGATGCAGGGCCTTTACCTATCTGTAGACATAGTTATGGTAAAACAGATATTTCTTTGTTTTTATCTTTTTTGTCCTTTATTATACTTAAACATAAAACCTTCACTTGGACACAGCAACATTCATATTTCAGTTGAATAAAAACTGAGTGGGCTTTTGCCTGTATCACAGCTCCCTTTAAGTCAAACTCAAGAGGAGTATTATCTTTCTGAACATTTTGAAAATGAAATACATAAGATATCTAAAGATGAAAATGAATGATTAATTTCCCAATATTCTCCTTTAATAGTTGAATAAGTATTTAGAGGTGGATATTTCGGTATTTCTGACAACAGTTATTGTATATGACAATAAGTTTTCCTGAGATAAAATTCTTTTAAAGACAAATTTATAAATGCCAAATGCTTGACCTTCCTATACAAAACCAAATCCATAATAGAATAAAGTATTGCTAACATAATATACACAACTATTCAGGTTAACATGTACGTATTCTTGTACAGACATGAATAATTCTCTTTCATCAGTAACAACTTTCTACATCGTGTATTTTATATCTAATCACACTGAAACTGAATACGGACTTATAGGTCATGAAGGTAGTATAAGCTTAACTCCATTGTATGTATGTATCAGGATACGAATAAGAGCGAATAGATGACAAGAGTTTCGAGCTAAAGAAAGTACAGAAAGTGTCGAAAGATAGAAATATTCTTAAGCATGAAATATGGACTGGGAAATTGTCACCATTCTCAGAGAATCTTGAGGGCGAACTACCAGAGTCAAGGACTACAACCATGACAGGAACCCAGGGCACCTTCTACCAGTCCGACTTACAGGAAATAAATGTCAGAGAGAAAACGATACTTGGAAGGTTTAAAGAGCAGAGGAAAAAGGCCATAACAACAATATTTTCTTAAATGGTTACACTAGCCTAAAGTTTAATTCATGGGTTTAAGCTAGTGGTGTAGAGATTGTAAAGTGTATTTGTAAAAGTGTAGAGACATCTGTACATATGTTGTAATTGTGGTTTGGGGTGACTTCTACGACCAATGCACAGGGATATTAGATATGTTCATAGAGTTTGTATTGTCGCTGTGTATGTTGCTCCTTAGATCTGCATTACAGATCCCATTTCACAAATGAACGACTTAGGGTTGTTTTTAACATGGTTGTACGCCCACACTATAAAGAACGCTATCCTGATGATCTTGAACCTAGCTTTCTCGCATGCATGGACGAGGGAGGAATATAGACTGTTATTTAGAGAAGGGAATGAGTACAGACTGTTAGTGTTGAGAAAGGAATGAGTAAAGACTATTTTTGATGACAAGGTTTCAAAATTTCAAAATTTCAAAATTGTACCTTCTAACTGCTGTCTAAAATGTGTATAGACATAATCATTGTGTTACAGCACTACCACTGTGTGACCTCCACAACGCCTCAAAGATCGGGGACTTATCAAGGGTGAACGTCATCTTGTCCCAGGGACGGGCCAACATAGACTGTCAAGAGTGGATTGGTAGAACACACCCGTGATGTGGGCGGCTCTTAAAAGGGACATAGAGAAGTGGTTGAGTTACTTGTGACTAAAGGAGCCAACGTGAAACTTACTGATAGATTCGGTATCAACATCCTTCACTCCAGCCTGTCTAGGAGGAGATGTAGATGTGGTGAAGTATGTCCTCTCACATGACATGGCGGACATCGATAGTAGAGCACAGTGCAAAAGAACACCTATGATGCTGGCAGCATAGAACGGACATAAAGAAGTCGTAGAGTCACTTGTGGGTGAAGGAGCTGACATGTCACTTGTGGATGAACAAAGTGACAACATCCTTCACTGTGCCTGTAGGGAGGACATCTGGATGTAGTGAAGTACATTGTCTCTCACAGGGCAAAGGTGGGCATCAACAGCAGAGGATCGAAGAAAAAGACACCAGTGATGGTGGCAGGACGATGGGGACATAAGGACGTGGTAGAGTTTCTCGTTGAACTTGGAGCTGATTTGTCACTCGTATATGAAGGTGGTAGCAGCGTACTTCACTTGGCCTGTTTTGGAGGACATCTAGAGGTGGCGAAATACATTGTATCAAAGGGCAAGGTGAACATCAACAGCAGAGGATGGAAGAAGAAGACACCAGTGATGGTGGCTGCAGCAAATGGACATAAGGATGTGGTGGAGTTTCTGGTGGAGCACGGAGCTGATTTGTCACGCGTATATGGCGGTGGTAGCAGCACACTTCACTTGGCCAGTTTCGGAGGACATCTGGATGTAGTGAGGTATATCGTCGCACAGAACAAGGTGAACATCAACAGTAGAGGATGGAAGAAGAAGACACCAGTGATGGTAGCAGCAGAAATGGGGGAAAAGGACGTGGTGGAGTTTCTGGTGGAGCACGGAGCTTATTTGTCACTCCTATTAGCCAGTGGTAACAACATCCTTCACCTGGCATGCAAGGGAGGGCATCTGGAGGTGGTGAAGTATATTGTCTCACAGAACAAGGTGAACATCAACAGTAGAGGATGGAAGAAGAAGACACCAGTGATGGTGGCAGCAGCAAATGGACATCAGAAACTGGTGGAGTTTCTCATCAGAAAAGGAGCAGATGCTATTGGCTTAAAGAGGTGACAACCTCCTTCGTGGCTTGCCGAGAATGAAATGTGGACATGGTGAATATATTCTGTGATAGGGGATTGTGGACATCGAGGCAAAATATTGGACATGTGCTACAAACTATACAAAAATGGGCGTACATATCTATTGCTGCTTTGGCAGTATGGAAAGCTACAAACACACGTGTTGGCAATAACAAAGAAAACCAATTTGTACATCTTGCAGAACAACAAACTATTGCAACCGATTTCGTAAAAAGCAAAAAACATCCTTTCTATATCGAGTTTGTATTTGTAGTAGGCAGATCGTATACAGTACACCATGTGGTGGTAGATAGATTGTGTACATTGTGTGGTAGTCGTGGCAAATAGTAGCAGTTTGGATACACACACCTGAAAAAATGTAGCAAAAACATTAGAAAAATTGACCAAATATGTATTTTGTCTTCTGTGTGTTGGACTACACTTGTGTTCTTTATATTGGACAACTTTTTGTGTTCTGTACATTGGACTACTTTTCTGTATGTTGGACAACTTTTTGTCTTCTGTGTGTTGGACTACTTTTCTGTATGTTGGACTACTTTTTGTGTTCTGTATGTTGGACTACTTTTTGTCTTCTATATGTTCGACTACTTTTCTCTATGTTGGACTCCTTTTTGTCTTCTATATGTTGGACTACTCTTCTGTATGTTCGACTACTTTTTGTCTTCTGTGTGTTGGACTACTTTTTGTCTCCTATATGTTCGACTACATTTCTGTATGTTGGACTACTTTTTGTGTTCTGTATGTTGGACTACTTTTTGTCTTCTATATGTTCGACTACTTTTCTCTATGTTGGACTCCTTTTTGTCTTCTATATGTTGGACTACTCTTCTGTATGTTCGACTACTTTTTGTCTTCTGTATGTTGGACTACTTTTTGTCTCCTATATGTTCGACTACATTTCTGTATGTTGGACTACTTTTTGTGTTCTGTATGTTCGACTACTTTGTATTTGTCTTCGTCTTTGGGAAACACAAACTCTACTTGTCGATCGTTAATCTTTTCTGAAATCGGTGAGTAGCAGACTTTGCCTAGCCTACACAGAAACTGCCCACCAACCAACCATAGATTTCCAATTCCACCGTTGTCTTGAATAGTTTCTTGTATCTTGTAACCATATACCCGAATAGTTTTTCCAGTCGGCAGAGAGTAGCAGCGACAGTCTGTTCTTCCCTCTGTGTTTGGCTACTGCAAACCTTTGCATACATAGATTCCCTCTGGAATGTCTGCAGCTTTTCTGTGTTTGTTGCATGGTGGTGCTGCTGCTTCCATATCCTTTGACTGTAGTTTGGCAATGGGGCATGGCAAATAGTTTTTCCGTCCAGGTGGTGGGTCTGCTTTCCCAGCTAACTGTAGTAAGATACAAGAATCTTCTTGCATACGCAATTGTCTACCAAATTGTCGAGTATGTGTTTGTATCATAGAGCACCAGCCAAAACAATCTTGGTCGTACAGGTTCTCTATGTTTGAGATACAGTTGGAGATCTCGATTTCTTCTGGAACCTCTAGTGGGAGTCGCTCCTGGGATGTATAAGGTGTATCTTTGTTTTTCCAGATAACGCATTTCTTGCTGCAAGTGCAGTGGTCTATGGTGCCGCACTTGCAAGTAGAGTTGTCTTGGTCGAATATGGCAGGTACTTGCGGTATAGCAGCAGAGGCAGTCGGTGCATTGGTTGTCATCTGTCTTTGTTTCCGGGCAGTGGTCGAGAACGATTCGGTGTTTGCCTGCTGCAGGTTGAAATTGGTTTGGTTGGTATATCGAGACAAAATCTACTATTTTGCCGTCTGAATCGAAGAAAACACAGCCAATAGAGTTCGAGAAACTGCCTGGGGATCTGGTAGATTGTGTTTCCCGATTGCTCTTGGATTTTTTTCTCTTTGGTGGCAAGGAATAGATTGGGACGCTTCTCTAGCAACATCTCAAAGACCTCTGTCCATGTCGTGACAGAAGTTGTGTTGGTGTGTGTCTCTGTTTGTGTCTCAGGGTCTATACTGCCTCGGATTCGCATATATCTGGCTTGCGATATATGGTGCTTCTTCTTCGCCTCCCGGATAGACATATTGCCAGATCGGATCTCAACATAACCTTTTGTGATAGCTTAGTTCCTGGCATTGTAATGTTCTATGTCCATACACCTGCATATCTCTAACTGGAGTGCACTTCCATCGGTGGTATATGTGTGTGTGGAGTGGGAGCGAGTTGTAGCTGGGGTGGTTTCTAGTCTGTTTGGAGGCTTCTAGAGTAGTCAACACACAGCTGAGAGCTGAATTGGACCGAAAGACCACGATGAGGAGGATTGTGGCCGGAACCCCATTTTGTATACTACTGTGTGTATTTGACTTTTTTTTCTCTTCTGTTGCCGTAGGCTGTATGTTGTCGTATGTTCTTGTATTTTTCTGTATACGGAGAACAGAGGACAAAAGTGGTCAATACACAGAAAAGAAATTGAAATGGGCCTCCACAGCCTTTTTCCCATTGCTTTAACATTGGTGCACATCCGTGCTTTTCTCCCCATTGCCTATACTACTTAGTGTTTGGTCTTTAGAAATATTTGGACGATGGCTGTCCTGAACTAGATGCTATGCCAGTATTGTATAAAACTCAGTTTCAGAAACAGCCTAATGAACTTACATTAGACTTCGTCTTCACAATACCAGGTGAAGTCCACTCACCATAGTTTAGTTTAATGCTATATTTGTCCAGCATAAGCTGAAGCCCCTGTTTCAACTTGACATCTACGGAAAGTAAAATTTCAGAACAGTGTAGCTTTGAACTAGCAATATTTCAGAAAATATAGTGTAGCTTTGAGCTAGTAATATTTCAGAATAGTGTAGCTTTGAGTTAGTAATATATAGGATTGTGTGACTTTGAGCTAGTAATATTTCAGAAGAGTGTGGCTTTGATCTAGTAATATATCAGAATAGTGTGGCTTTGAGAGGTAGTTATATTTCAGAAAAGTGTGGCTTTGAGCTAGTGCTATTGCAGAATAGTGTGGCTTGGGCTTGTAATATTTCAGAATAGTGTGGCTTTGAGCTAATAATATTTCAGAATAGTGTGGCTTTGAGCTAGTAATATTTCAGAATAGTGTGGCTTTGAGGTAGTAATATTTCAGAATAGTGTGGCTTTGAGGTAGTAATATTTCGGAAAGTGTGGCTTTGAGCTAGTGATATTGCAGAATAGTGTGGCTTGGAGCTTGTAATATTTCAGAATAGTGTGGCTTTGAGCTAGTAATAATTCAGAATAGTGTGGCTTTGAGCTAGTAATAGTTCGGAATAGTGTGGCTTTGAGCTAGTAATATTTCAGAATAGTGTGGCTTTGAGATGGTGACATTTTAAAATAGTGTAGGCCACATCAATTATCACAAGCAGATACAATATCTATATCACAAGCAGATACAATATCTATATCACAAGCAGATACAATATCTATATCACAAGCAGATACAATATCTATATCACAAGCAGATCCAATATCTATATCACAAGCAGATACAATATCTACATCACAAGCAGATACAATATCTATATCACAAGGGGATACAAAATCTATATCACAAGCAGATACAATATCTATATTACAAGCAGATGCAAAATCTACAAGACCTGCAGTGACAACACGCTGAGTTAGCTACAAAGTCATTTCATTGGAGCACATGCGTATGAAATTGTTAAATGCAAATACAATATATTTAGTATCCCCGACTCTCTTGTCAATAACATCTACCCTGGAGGCCTGACAACTGGTGAATGTTATCACCGCTTGATTTTCAGCTCAGGTCTACTAAGGGTGCCTGACTTCTGTTGCACCGATGTTAATGTTATCACCGCTTGATTCTCAGCTCAGGTCTATTCTCGGTGCCTGACTACTGTTACACCGAGGTGAATGTTATCACTTGATTCACAGCTCAGGTCTACTCTGGACGCCTGACTACTGTTGCACCGAGGTGAATATTATCATCACTTGATTCTCAGCTCAGGTCTACTCTGGACGCCTGACTATTGTTGCACCGAGGTGAATGTTATCACCACTTGATTCTCAGCCCAGGTCTACTCTGGAGGCCTGACTACTGTTGCACCGAGGTGAATGTTATCATCACTTGATTCTCAGCTCAGGTCTACTCTGGAGGCCTGACTACTGTTGCACCGAGGTGAATGTTATCACCACTTGATTCTCAGCCCAGGTCTACCCTGGAGGCCTGACTACTGTTACACCGAGGTGAATGTTATCATCACTTGATGCTCAGCTCAGGTCTATTCTGGAGGCCTGGCTACTGTTGCACCGATGTTAATGTTATCACCACTTGATTCTCAGCTCAGGTCTATTCTCGGTGCCTGACTACTGTTACACCGAGGTGAATGTTATCACTTGATTCACAGCTCAGGTCTACTCTGGAGGCCTGACTACTGTTGCACCGAGGTGAATGTTATCACCACTTGATTCTCAGCTCAGGTCTACTCTGGACGCCTGACTATTGTTGCACCGAGGTGAATGTTATCACCACTTGATTCTCAGCCCAGGTCTACTCTGGAGGCCTGACTACTGTTGCACCGAGGTGAATGTTATCATCACTTGATTCTCAGCTCAGGTCTACTCTGGAGGCCTGACTACTGTTGCACCGAGGTGAATGTTATCACCACTTGATTCTCAGCCCAGGTCTACCATGGAGGCCTGACTACTGTTACACCGAGGTGAATGTTATCATCACTTGATTCTCAGCTCAGGTCTATTCTGGAGGCCTGGCTACTGTTGCACCGAGGTGAATGTTATCACCACTTGATTCTCAGCTCAGGTCTATTCTGGAGGCCTGACCACACACTCCGGCACAGTGGTGACTTAACATGACATCACTGCCACAGGCTAAATTGCATATCACGTGACCGAACTTTTCTCTTGTTTGTAATCAAACGCGCATATTCATAATAAGAAGAGACTAGACTCACGAAAGCTTTTCGACGCTCTCTTCATAATGTTTT